TTTTTTTTTTTTTTTTTGCCGTACGCGGGCCTTTCATTGTTGTGGCCCCTCCCGTTGCGGAGCACAGGCTCCGGACGCGCAGGCCCAGCGGCCGTGGCTCACGGGCCCAGCCGCTCCGCGGCACGCGGGATCCTCCCAGACCTGGGCACGAACCCGTGTCCCCCGCATCAGCAGGCGGACTCCCAACCACTGCGCCACCAGGGAAGCCCAATAGTACATTCTTAAATAATCTCTATAAGTCAATAGTCTTTATATTCATGCTAAAATTTTTTTTTCTTTTTTTTAAGGATTTCAGTTTGTTGAAATGAGCAGTCGTAAATCAAAGAGTAACAACTTAATACAAGCAGAATACCTTTCACAGGTTGGTATATATTTTCATTACTCTGAAGGTCTGTTACCATGCAAAGGTGATAAGAGAATTAGTCATCTTCTTAACTTGAATTCTTCCCTTAGCATGTATGAAGAACCACTCTTTTCATTCTCAAGGGAAGAGTATCTTTGCTACTTCCTAATTTCAACCTCTAAGTCTTTGGATAGATGGAATCCTAACTTTACTCATGTCCTCCTAAATGTGCTCTAGTTCAGTTTAGTTTAATATTATCTTTAGAGTTTTGTACTTCTTTTGGTAAATTTATTCCTAAGTATTTTATTCCTTTTGGTACTATTGTAAACGGAATTGTTTTCTTAACTTTATGTTTTATTTATTGCAAGTGTATCTAAATGAAATTGATTTTTCTAAATTAATCTTGTATTCTGTAACCTTCCTGAACTCGTTTATTCTAATATTTTTTTAGTTTATTCCTTAGGATTTTCTTTATATAAGATCGTGTCATCTGCAATAGAGATAGTTTTAATTCTTTCTTCTCAATCTAGATGAATCTCATTTCTTTTTCTTGTCTAATTGCCCTAACTAGAACCTTCAGTATAACACTGAATAAACTAGCAAGAGCAGACAATCTTATTTTGTTTTTGATATTGGGGAAATGCGTTCAGTCTTTCACCATTGAGTATGATGTTAGCTGTAGGTTTTTGTGTGTGTTCTTTATCAGGTTGAGGAAGTCCCTTTATATTCCTAATATGTTGAGTGTTTTTATCATGAACATTTAATGTTTTCTTAAGTGCATATATATCTCTTTTGAGGAGTCTAGTAGGGAATGTGCATGATATTTCTACACTGGCATTTCTTTTTTAAAGATTTTTTTGATGTGGACCATGTTTAAAGTCTTTATTGAGTTTATTACAATATTGCTTTTGTTTTATGTTTTGGTTTTTTGGCCATGAGATATATGGGATCTTAGCTCCCCAACTGGTGATCGAACCCACACCCCCTACATTGTAAGGTGAAGTCTTAACCACTGAACTGCCGGGGAACTCCTTACACTGGCATTTCTATTTATCTGGCTTGACCAGAACTACATTTCTTTTAAACAAAAACTAAATGTTGGGCTTCCCTGGTGGCACAGTGGTTGAGAGTCCACCTGCTGATGCAGGGGACATGGGTTCGTGCCCCGTTCCAGGAAGATCCCACATGTCGCAGAGTGGCTGGGCCCGTGAGCCATGGCCACTGAGCCTGTGCGCCGGAGCCTGTGCTCTGCAACGGGAGAGGCCACAACAGTGAGAGGCCCGCGTACCGCAAAAAAAAAAACCTAAATGTTATTGGCATTCCTTTGTGAGACCTTACCTTCCTTCTTTTAGAAGGAAAATGTTTAATTCTGTTTTTTAATTTAACTTTTACATATCTTTGTAAAGTGAACAAATCTTCCATGTGCAGCTTAATTAATTTCTACACATGTATACACCTGTTTAACTTTCATCTCAGATCACTTTAGGATTTTTGAACCTCTGACTATTCACTACAACTTCACTTTATCTCTCACTTTATTTTATACATAGTTGTCTCTCTAATAGACTTTAATGAAGTTTAAAAAAAGAAAAGGACTGAGGGTTGTCTTTTGACTTCTAGTGATCTTATCTAGGGGGCGGAATACACACTATGATTCGTTGAATCTATATATGCCCCTTTAATTTTTTTACAGATATCAGCTATTACCTGTATAATACCTATATTGTGTTATAGATAACTGCCTCTTTTAATCTTCAAAACAGGCCTGCCAGAAAAGTGTTATTGTCTCTTTGGCACCAATCTTCCTATTCTTTCCACTTCCTCTATAACTATAAGTATGGATTATTTTATCCCCAGTGAATAATTTGCTTTGCTCGTCCTCTGGTACATGTAAAGAGAACTCAGATCTATTTCTTTGGTATGTGAAGGATCAGTCCCATGGTGTCAGTCTGGGAGAAGCAAATAATCCTGGAGGCTTCTTGTTTCTGCTGATGGGGCTAAATCTGAAACAGCCTCCTAAGGTTTTTGTCACTGAGGACCTCTGTATTAGCAGCAAAGCAGAAAAGGAATGATTTTAATGATCCATAGTTTTAAAGATCGTGATAGATTGGCTTTTTTTTTTTTTTTTTTTTACAACTGAATCTAAGCCCTTTGTTCTAAGGCAAACTCAAAATTTAGGTCTTTAGAAGAATTTTTTCTTAATTCCAATGATTTCGTATTTTATGTCCTAGGTGAATATAATTTCTTCCATATAATTGAGCAAATCCTTATATGCTGTTACTGCTATTTTGCAGGTTGTTTCTTGAATGTGTCATTTTTTTCCAAATACATTCATTTCTTTCCAATATATTTGCAGTGTTTTTTAAGGCATAGATCATGTTCTTTTAGTAGTATGGTGCTCTGCATCTAATAGGCCCTCAATAGCTATATGGACTTTTAAATTTCCTTTTTTTTTTGCGGTACGCGGGCCTCTCACTGCTGTGGCCTCTCCCGTTGTGGAGCACAGGCTCCGGACGCGCAGGCTCAGCGGCCATGGCCCACGGGCACAGCCGCTCCGCGGCACGTGGGATCCTCCCGGACCGGGGCTCGGACCCGTGTCCCCTGCATCGGCAGGCAGACTCTCAACCACTGCACCACCAGGGAAGCCCTAAATTTCTTTTATTTCCTCGGAATCCTGACTTCTGTGACAGGTAGAGATTGATAAGGCTTGAGGTAAACCAGTTTAGATGTGTTGGTCTCTAGAGACTGAGGTGTGGTTCATGAGCATTATTAAATTAGATTACCTTATCAGATTCTCTCCTGTCTTTGTTTGTTGGCTGATATGTTACGCAAAGTGAGGTATTCATTCATTCACATGGATTAAAACAGCCCTCAAATTGCTGATGTAGCTAAAGGAACTAATTCTTTCTCTTGTTGAAAGCTTCAACTAAGTTCTCATCCTTTCTCTGGGCCTTGAGATAGGTAAAAAGAATTGTAAATTTTACAACTTAGGAAAATGCCAGATGTCATGATGATAAGTTATTTAGGGAGAGTTGAATTGATTCATTAATACCTAATTCTGACTGCTATAAATGTATATTCTTGTTCTTTTTTGATTGCATATGTAATATTTTCATTTATATTTATTCACTTTATTTTTATCAGGTACAAAGAATTTTACGTGAAAGATTTTGTCATCAGAGTCCACATAGTAACCTATTTGGAGTACAAGCACAATATAAGTAAGTTTAGCTATCTGCTTATCTGTTATGAAACTACTTACAGATGCCCTTTAGGTTTTGCAAAAATTGTCATAAACAGATTTTATTAAACAAGGCTAACAGACATTTTATAGAGGTAAAAAATTTTGCTTTGTATATAAAAAAATGACTGTTGTGAAGCAAGAGCAGATATCAATATTTCCATAGTGAAAAAAACCTTTTAACTTTCAATCTTGTATCATTTCTATAATCTGGTATTATGGAGAGAATTCTGAGCTTGCACCTAATAGTCAGCAGCCAGCTGTGGAGTGAAAGGTCCTAAGAGTTGCCACTGTTGTCCCTTGTCCCATACTAGCATAAAGACCAAGATACTTCATTGTTACTTGGTTTCTCTTCTTGAGGTTTCCAGAGAATCAGTATTTGTGTTCTTCTCTGTAGGACTATTTAGAGCATAAGTCAAGTGCCCAGAAGAAGAGAAAAAAGGAATGGCTGTTTTTTGTTCAAATTCAGCTTTTAAAAAGTATTACCTAGCAAATTATTTCAGCTTTCCTTTTTAAATTTTGGCCTATTTATATCATTTCAGACACTTAATTGAGCTGCTAAAAAGAACTGCTATTCATGGAGAAAGTAATTCTGTTCTCATTGTTGGACCCCGGGGATCAGGAAAGACCATGGTAAAAGCTGTTGATTTCTGATGTTCCTGTGCTTTGTAGGCATGTGATGATTCTTAGGGACAACACTGGAAACGTTTTTCATTGTTTTCATCATTGTGTTACTAATATTTTGCTTTTTTTTTTTAATTTAAATCATAGAAGACATGCAAAGCCTGTATAGAGTGGTATATTTGAGTTGAACAATGTTTTTTACCTTTTTCTCCCTCACAGTAACAAATTTTCAAATAATGTTTGTTCCATCATGGTCTTTTATCCTTGAAGAATTTGTGATTGACAACGAACAAAGCAGACTAGCAGCTATTGAGCCTGTACCTTGTGTCTTTTATTTATGTTCTGTCATTTATTCTTTACATTAACCCTGCAAGGTAGGTTTGGTATTATCTCTATTTGTAGATTAGGTAACTATCATACCATGCATTCTTTTTTTTCCTCTTATTGTTTAACCCTAACTCAGGTGGTTTTTTTTATATGTACACTCACGTCTTCTAGAATTCTCTTCTACTTTCCCTCTTTACTATATTTGCTTAGTCACCTTCAAAAGATACTGTTGCTTTTTTCCCTCAGTTTCTCTTTCTTCATTCATTATATAAGACAAATTATGGCTGTTATATTGCAAGTATTACTATTATAAAATCTGTTTTCTGCTATATTCCATGCAATAAATTTAGATTTCTCACTAATATGCTTTTTATATTATGTGTATAAGTAAAATTATGTATTATTTTATATTAAGTAAAATTATGTAAAATAGAAATAAAATTACGTTTTTATTTTTTAAGCAGTATGTTTTCACTGTACATTATGTAAGATGAGGAAATTAGGACTTTAGGATTTTACTGTTATCACCCATTTCCAGTATTGTTTGAAGTACATCAGTTGGGAATTTAGATCTAGATAATTTTTCTTTTTTAATCTTTTAAGAGTTTTTCATTTATTATAATCACATTTACGATAGTATTTACTTTTGGTTGTTTAATTTGGTTCAGTCCTTGGGCTCAGTCCTTGTATGTAACCACTGTTTCTTTATTCTTGTTTTTTTATTACGATTTTCCTTTTTGTGTTTGACTTCAGTGCTATTTGGGGTAGTTTTTACAGGAGAACCATGTGACTAATATGCTTTGGAATTATTAGACTATTTAAAATTATTAACAATAATTCTATTAACAATAGAAAAACTGAGCAAAGATATGCACAGAAAGATCATAGGAAATTAAATACAAAGCGATCTTAAACTTATAAACGTGTTCAATTTCACTCATATTTAGTAAATAAAAACTATAGTAATTTTCTCTATCAGGTTGACAAGAAAATCTGTAAGATTGATAACATACTGATGTTTTTGCTGATGGTATAAATTAGAATTAGACAAAATCTAACCACACTACAAATGTGTATACCCTTTGACTCAGCAACATTTCTAGGAATTCACTGTTGTGAAATGATGCGTGTACAGTTACTTAATTCAGCACTGTTTGTTAATAGGGAAAGATGAGAAACAATATAAATGCCCATCAACAGAATACTGGTTGATAAATCATGGTACATCCATCCATATAATGGACTATGATACAGCGGTAAAAAAGAATAAGGAAATATTTGTAGACAGTACATAAAGAAAAGGAAAAAAATGCTCATATTTCTGTTGGTTCATCTGTGAACCAAAAATTCCCTGAAATGTGTATATATTTTAAAAAATTTTTATTGGAGTATAGTTGGTATACAATGTTGTGTTAGTTTCAGGTATATATCAGAGGTGAATCAGTTTTACATATACACACATCCACTCTTTTTTTAGATTCTTTTCCTATATAGGCCATTACAGAGTATTGACTAGAGTTCCCTGTGCTATACAGTAGGTTCTTATTAGTTATCTATTTTATATATAGTAGTATGTATATGTCAATCCCAGCCTTCCAATGTATCCCTGCCCCCTTTATCCCCTGGTAACCATAAGTTTGTTTTCTATATCTGTGACTTGTTTGTAAATAAGTTCATTTGTACCCTTTTTTTTAGATTCCACATATAAGTGCTATCATATGATATTTGTCTTTCTGTGTCTGACTTACTTCAGTCAGTATGACAATCTCTAGGTCCATCCATGTTGCTGCAAATGGCATTATTTTGTTCTTTTTTATGGCTGAGTAATATTCCATTGTATATATGTACCACATCTTCTTTTTCCATTCCTCTGTTGATGGACATTTAGGTTGCTTCCATGTCCTGGCTATTGTAAACAGTGCTGTAGTGACCATTGGGGTGCATGTATCTTTTCAAATTATGGTTTTCTTCAGGCATATGCCTAAGAGTGGGATTGCTGGGTCACAAGGTAGTTCTATTTTTAATTTTTTAAGGAACCGCCGTACTGTTCTCCATAGTGTCTGGAGAACAATTTACATTCCCACCAACAGTGTAGGAGAGTTCCTTTTCTCCACACTCTCTCCAGCATTTATTATTTGTAGATTTTTTTGATGATGACCATTCTGACCGGTGTGAGGTGATACCTCATTGTAGTTTTGATTTGCATTTCTCTAATAATTAGTGATGTTGAGCATCTTTTCGTGTGCATTTTTTAAAATTAATTTAATTTATTTTTGGCTGCATTGGGTCTTCGTTGCTGCCCGCAGGCTTCTCTCTAGTTGCGGCGAGTGGGGGCTGCCCCTCGCTGCCGTGTGCTGGCTTCTTGTTGCAGTGGCTTCTCTTGTTGCAGAGCACGGGCTCTAGTCACCCGGGCTTCAGTAGTTGTGGCACGTGGGCTCAGCAGTTGTGGCTCACGGGCTCTAGAGCACAGGCTCAGTAGTTGTGGCGCACGGGCTTAGCTGCTCCGTGGCATGTGGGATCTTCCCGGACCAGGGCTCGAACCCGTGTCCCCTGCATTGGCAGGCAGATTCCCAACCACTGCGCCACCAGGGAAGTCCCCATTTTTTTTATATATAAATTTATTTTTATTTTTGGTTGTGTTGGGTCTTCGTTGCTGTGCAGTGGCTTTCTGTGCTTGTGGCGAGTGGGGGCTACTCTTCGTTGCGGTGCATGGGCTTCTTATTGCGGTGGCTTCTCTCATTGCGGAGCATGGGCTCTAGGCACGCGGGCTTCAGTAGTTGTGGCTCACAGGCTCTAGAGCACAGGCTCAGCAGTTGTGGCACACGGGCTTAGTTGCTCCGCGGCATGTGGGATCTTCCTGGACCAGGGCTAGAGCCTGTGTCCCCTGCATTGGCAGAAGGATTCTTTACCACTGCACCATCAGGGAAGTCCTTTCATGTGCTCTTTGGCCATCCATGTGCCTCCCTAAGATATTAAACACAAATATAATGAGTTATTTGTTGAGGCGGGGATATGGGAACAGAGGTAGGAATCTTTTCACTGCATATCTTTTTATACTTTTTGAGGGGTAAACTATATGACCATACAATCTATTTTAAAAACTAAAGAATGGAAAGTTGGTTGAAGGCAAAGGTAAAAACCCCAACAACCTGCTTAACAGAACAAATCACTAAAGTCATTCAAACCACAGAAATACAAAAGAGAAATGAAGTTTAGTAATATGGGGAAATGTAAAAAATATTTTAAATACATCAAAAATTATTTTGCACGTTACTTACAACATGGCTGGGATTGAATTCTTGGGTCACAGTTTTTTCTCCTTTGGAATTACATAGATTTTATTCAATTTGTATTCTGTGGGAAAACTCCAAGGGTAGGCTTTTCTTTTTTCCTTTATAAATTGCTGTTTCAATCTGGATAGTTTAGATAATGCAGTCATAACAACCCTAAATTTCAGTGTCTTGACACAAAAGAAGTTTATTGTTTACTTTTGCTCTATGCATAGTGTGGATCAGCAAGGGGACACTGTTCTCTGTAGTCACTTAAAGGAAGTGGTGGATGTTATGTCAGCATTTCTCCACAAACACCCCAGTGGAAGAAAGGGAGCATGATGAATCATGGACACTCTTAAAGTTCCTACCCAGAGGTGATACAGAACACATCTCACAGTTCATTGAACAGAGTGAGTCACATGGTCACACCTAATTTCAAGAGAGCAAGGAAGTGCATTTTTCCTAGTTGCCTAGAAAGGGAGGTTAAGCAGAAGTATGGTGAACATCACTGATGACCACCACAGCTAACATGTTTTGAGTTTGTGACTTTTCCTTGTCTGGATGCTTTTAGAATTTCTCTGTGTTAGCAGTGTGAACATTTCACAGGCTATTTCCAAGTGTGGGTCATAAAAACTGAAGCTCTGCAAACCCTCTTAATGTGAATTTAAGTCTTTCTTTAGTAAAGGATAATTTTCCTTTCTTTCCAGTTTTCATTATTTTATTGTCTTTGGAAAACACATTATCCTATGTATTTTTTATTTATTTTGTTTAATTTATTTATTTTTTTTGCGGTACATGGGCCTCTCATTGCTGTGGCCTCTCCCGCCGTGGAGCACAGGACCCTGACATGCAGGCTCAGCGGCCATGGCCCACGGGCCCAGCCACTCTGCGGTATGTGGGATCCTCCCGGACCGGGGCACGAACCCGCGTCCCCTGCATTGGCAGGCAGACTCTCTACCACTACGCCACCAGGGAAGCCCTATCCTATGTATTTTTTTTGTTGTTGTTGTTGTTGTTGTTGTACGCGGGCCTCTCACTGTTGTGGCCTCTCCCACTGCGGAGCACAGGCTCCGGAGGTGGAGGCTCAGCGGCCATGTCTCACGTGCCCAGCTGCTCTGCGGCATGTGGGATCTTCCCGGACTGGTGCACGAACCCGTGTCCCCTGCATCGGCAGGTGGACTCTCAACCACTGTGCCACCAGGGAAGCCCTACCTATGTATTTTTGAAGAACATTTTTACATAATACTTTAATTCTTCAAGGAGCTCCATAGTGATACTCTTGTATCAGTACAGGAGAAAATGAGATCTAGGAAATCCGTACATTAGACCTGTTATTCTGTGGTACACTGCACATCTTGAAACAAAGTAACAATACAACAGAGAAGTTGAATCTCAGTGATTTATACATCAAAGTGTCAAGCCTAAAAATATAACTTGAACAGCTAATGACTGAATTTATTCTGAACTTTCATCTTGGAAGTTTGTCCCTAAAGGCATGGAGAAAGTTCAGAAAAAAGGAAACAGAGCTAGTAAACGCTTACAAAGTTGTATAAGTAAATACAAATTAAAGCTATACTCCATTTCATTAGTAAATTGGCTAAAATAGATATATTTTTTACAGAAAAAGTAAGCAGATAGTACAGAGTTCCCATATAATCTCCACATACATACATGCACACACGTGCACACAGTTTCCCGTATCATTAATATCTTGCTTTAGTGTGGTACATTTGTTAAAATTAATGAAAGTGATAGTGAGACATCATTACTAACTAAAATCCATTGTCTACATTAAGGGTCACTCTTTTAATTCTACAAGTCTGTGGGTACAACACACTGTTCTGGTGTTTTGACGTCATTTATCTAATGTGAGTTAACTGGAATATGGAAGAACCCATACCTGGTATTCCATTTTGGTACAATTTAATTTATTCCTACTGCACTCCAATATTGAGAGGTCAAAAAGATAAGGAGCATTGTTTAACTCGTGCCACTTTTGTGATTTGTTGTATGTGGGAGTATCCTGAGATAAAATAAGCTATTCTTAGATAAGAATTTTATTATGTAATATAATTAGTATAATTATGTATATCATAGCATTAGTACAATCATGTGTTAGTAATATTATTAGTATAATCATGTAAATTTGCACTTAAAAAATAAGATTACAGTATATTTAAAACACTATCCTTGGCCAAACTATCCAAAATACAAAAATTCAAAATCTACAGTTAAGCAATAAAGGTAACAGATATTGTGGTTTGTTGTATTTCAAACATTTATTTTAAAAATAGATATGGTTCCAAATGACAGATTGGACCCTGGAAAATACTCTTCTATATAGAGATAAGTGTAGACAAAGAAACTTGCTAGATGGTTAAGTAGGATGTTTCTTCTAGTTGATATTTCTTCTAGTTGCATATTGTTGAATCTTGTGTTCCATAAAGTATTTGGGAATAGTAATAGTAGGTAAGCATAAAAATCTCTGGATGTTGGCAGTTCTAAGCAAGCTGTGCTACTATGTTGGTAAAATTAATTTTTAGCTACAAAGAATGTGGAAATGGGGTAGCCAAATTCGTTATGATGGTTAGTGTAACATAACCAACTAAGTTTTTTTAGTACATAATATAGTTTAAAATATTTGAAAAGATGACATTGTTTCCTTGAAAAAAAACTGGCATTATGTGATTGGTAACCTAGCTAATTACACAGTAAAGTTTAGCAATATCCAGAGTGGAACTAAAATTATTATTTGAAGACATACTTGCTAATATCATTTCAGACGGTCACACCTCATAAAAAAATTGTGAGCTGATTCAAGCAAATCATAGTAACCTGGTGTTAAAGTAAATTCAGTGGAAAGAGGCTATAAACCTGTTACAACTCTCTCTATGCATATGTAAAATGAAGGTATTATTATTAACCCTGTTTCATTTTGCAAAGAATTTGAAATGGTTTTGAACAATTCATCAAACGTAAAATGATTTTAAACATAAAATCAGAGCCAGGGAAATATAAATATTATGTAAGTAAAATATCAAGAGGTGGGGGCAAGAACACAGCAGGTTACTAAGAGAATACAGCATAAGAGACCCGAGTTTGTATCATTTGGGGACTAACTCTTGCGATAGGGTCTGACTTGATCCAAAGACAGAAAAGTACCACCTCATCTTCTGACAGTTTTCTGTAAAGAATGTAACATCTCAGCTGGGCTTTTACTCATAGTATGACAGTTGACATTTTGAGATTGTCTTTTTTTAAGAGGACTTTTTTAAGAGGACTACCTGTGACCTGAGGTAGAATTCCATATGCTTTAGAAACTATACAGATATACCAGGAATAGCTAGTATGTTTGATAATACTGTTGTGAAACGTAATAATTTAAAATGAGGGTATTTGTTTTCTTTCTATTGCACAAAGATATTACAGTGACAAATAGAGGTAGAATATTGCAAATACAAATAGTATTTTGTTTTTCAAAATAGCTTACCAGTTGTCTCAGTGACTTTGTTGAATAATCCTTTTTGTCCTCACTAAATTTTGATGCCATCTTTATTGTATACATAGCCTAATTTCCTGGACTATATATTTTGGGATAGTACCATTCTATTTCTATTTTCATATTAAAAAGAATAATCTGCCATTACTCTTCCTTTTAAAAAGCTTTATGTTTTTTCTTAATTCTATTTATTTTCAAATTTAAGGAAATATGTAGTATTAATATGAAGAGATATATATGATAGTGCAATATGAGTGATAAGATGTCACAAATCAAAAAATATAAAGAATGTAAGTATGTGGCATAGAAACCTGTAATTATAAAAATGTGAAGCTTTATAATTGAACAGTTTAAGGTGGCATAACACTTTCTGGGTATTTTTAGTAGTAATTACTATTATATTTTATTAGTATTAATAATTTTTTTTAATTGTGAGCTCTAAGTTTAATAAGGGCTTTCTTTGCTTACCTAGCAGCTAACAAAGGCAACATCTCTTTTTTCAGCTTAACCTCTTGGTATTTCTTTTTTAATTTTCATTTTAAGGTAACATACAAAGTAGTTCACAGTATTTCATAAAAATTGCTGTATTGGGGGCAGATGTTTTGCTGTCATTTAGCATTGTTCTTGTACTTATTTTCAATAGCTTTTAACTGATTTCAATGATAATTTTGTAGAGTAAATGGTGGAGACATATAATGAACTGACTGAGACATGAAGTTCTTAAGTGGCCATAGTTTTATGTGACTTCTACTGTAGAGAAGTATTTCTTTGAAAACTTAAGGGTTATTTCTGAACGTTTATTAGAAGTTTGGGTAGCTGATTGAGAGAGTGTGGCATCAGTCCAGGCTCTGGCATCTTAAGAGTCAGACTTTAGGAGTTCAGTTAAACCTTCTATCTACAGAGAATCTGCAAATTTAATTGTTGATTTTCAAATGACAATCTGTTTATATTCTGTTCCTATTACTGATAGTTTAAAAAAGAATATGGGCTTATCATCTTTTACCTATTATTAAATATTTCATAAACTTTTTAATATTATTTAGTTAATAAACCATGCTTTGAAAGAACTAATGGAAGTAGAAGAAGTGAGTGAAAATGTATTACAAGTTCACTTAAATGGTAAGTATGTCCTCGTTTTGTTATTGGAAATGATGTAAGCCATGTGAGCTTTTTATATTATGAACCTTAATTTACTAGTGTGTTTTAAATCTGCATTAATAACTATATTTTAAAAACTAAATCCTTGTTTAACAACTTTTACTTTAGCACACTGTACACAGTATTTTTAGAAATTAAAAAAATATTAATAAAGGAGACACATAAGGTCTCTTGGTTTTTTTTAAATAATACGAATCCCAAGGAAGATGGTTCTTTGAGTCTATTAAATGTTTTCACTGTTGAGTTTTTAAAAGGAAATAATGTACACTAATAGGCTTTGACTTTTTTCTTTCTAGTTAAATTTTTAAAAGCATTAGAAAATTTACTTGAAAATAATCTGCATTGTATCAAATACATATTTCATTTTTATTAAATACTTTAAAATGGGCTTTATTTCAGGACTGCTGCAGATCAATGATAAAATTGCCTTAAAGGAAATCACAAGGCAGTTAAATCTGGAAAATGTAGTTGGAGATAAAGTTTTTGTAAGTATTATTTTCATTATTTTATTGAATAGGCTTCAAATTAAAGTCTGTATAGCATAGATATGTTTATATTTTTGGAAGAGTAGGAAGAGTTCAGAGATTCTAAATTGAAATATGTAAGATTCTTATAAGAATGTACAATGTACTAGGATGCATTTATTCATCAAATCTTTATGTTTAGATTTTTTTTGAAGTAGGTTATACTAGTTATTAAATACTTCAAGAAGTCCAGGTTTGTGTAGATATTATCTGAGTTTGTTTCTTTATCTGTAAGGTAAATATTATGATTCTCTACCTTTGGAGATAGATTAATATGTTTTTAAAAATACTACACTCTAGCAGTCTATTTCTAGTCTTATGAGACTTGGATAGCATGGGAGTAGTGGAAAATGTATTGAATTTGAAGCTACAAAAAGTGGATTTGAGTCTTGCCCTATAACTATTGACTACCTGGTAATCATGGCTAATAAATATCTTTGAATTACAGATTCCTCACCTGTTAAATTGGCATTATCTTATGATACCTCACAGATTTATTCTAAAGAAGAAAAGAAGTATTAAACATCATTTATGTTTTTTTTTTTTTAAATAGGATGGTAATATGCTGTGCAAATGTCAGTTATCTCTTATTATTAAAATGTTCTCAGAAAGTTACCCACATCTCATTATTGTAGCTTGGAATCTCAGGACAGTAAACATCAATAACTTAAACTGATAAATGTTTTGGAACTTTTATTAAACTTTTTACCTACCACTTGATTTATAAGGCTCAAGGGAAACATGATTAACTTGCAGCTGCCTTAATTTTCATAATGAAATGACTCATCTGCTTAATGCAATTGAAGCAGGTTGTAGACGTTCCAAGTTCATTTTCTGGTCACTGGTGATCATTAAGTGGTGTCACTCTGATCTCTAAACTGTGTCTCTGTTCTGCAGTAACACTGACATAGTTGTGTAAGCCTCCTAACATTTAATAATTTTATTCTTTAAAAATTACCTATAACAAGTTGAGCCAATCATGTGTTACCCTTCCATTATCTACAGGTCTTTTTTTTTTTTTTTTGGCTGCTTTGGGTCTTCATTGCTGCACGTGGGCTTTCTCTAGTTGTGGTGAGCGGGGATAATCTTCGTTGCGGTGGGCAGGCTTCTCATGGCAGTGGCTTCTCTTGTTGCGGAGCACGGGCTCTAGGTGTGTGGGCTTCAGTATTTGTGGCACATGGGCTCAGTAGTTGTGGCTCGCGGGCTCTAGAGCGCAGGCTCAGTAGTTGTGGCACGCAGGCTTAGTTGTTCTGCGGCATGTGGGATCTTCCCGGACCAGGGATCGAACACGTGTCCCCTGCATTGGCAGACGGATTCTTAACCACTGCACCACCAGGGAAGTCCCTATCTACAGGTCTTTGAAGTGCAAGTTCAAATGCTTCTTCTGTAAATCTGTTGTTCTACCTCCTGTCCAGAATGTAATGTAGAAGATAGCGGCCTAGTTGGCAAAGGAGAGTTACTATTATGTAGTATTATGTTTGTTACTATTATGTTTGGCTTTTGGTTTCCAGTAGATAAGTGTTTCTGACTTTTCTAAATAGAGCTATTTGCATCGGATTCATACGAAATAATACAAGGCACAGTTGGTTATCATCCTAGTCATCACTATTGTTATCATAATCCCCACATATACAGATTATAGTTTAACTTCTACATTGTATAGATTAAGCACCTGAGGCTAAGAGAACATAGTGTGCCTGAAGTCATAAAATGACAAAGGCTGGGCATTAAGAAACTAAGTGATTTAACCCAGACCCTTTCTGTTTTGATGTACTTAGAGCAAACTTGTATATTCATTTATATATATATATATATATACACACACACACATAAATGTGTATATTTATATAAGTATATACTCATATAAGTAAATTCTTATAATATGTGCATATGAATTTAAGTATATACTTACACTTAATGTCAGGTATAATAGTCTTTAAAAAAATAGCAAAATGTAAGCAACCTTTGAGTAACTTTGACCACTGATTTTCCAACAGATTGTCTCTGAGCCTTTGTTTATGTTATGGTAAATACCTCTTGCCCTGCCTACCTTGGAAATAGTATTACTTGACAGTATGTAATCATCACAAAGTATGTAGAAGCTCTTTAAAACCTGTTATGCTATTTTATATCAGTTCTCTCTACTGGGAAACAAACAAGTGGGTTTCTTTTTTCCTATATATCTCCTCAAATTTAAAGTTGGCTGTTTCTTTAAATAAAGAAATCTGAATGAAGTAAAAATTAAGGACTTAAGTGAAAAAATATTTTAATTAGGCCTTTATCCACAAGCTGGAACATCTGGATAATGCATCTGCTACTCTATTAATTTCCAACCAGAATATTTAAGTTGTATCCAAAAATGTTTTGGCTGTGTTCCAAGTAAACACAGCCAAATTTGATATGATATATACAAATTCTATAATATTCTCTTGAATAGAGAAACACTGTTGTATTGTCTGATGTTTGAGGCAAGTTTCTTCTCCCTTTTCCTTTTGGATCTCATTTAAATTCATGGTAATTTTTTTAGTGGTACAAGTTTGAGACTTCCAAGAGACTGACGTGTTTCAAGATACAAAGCGCAATGGATTTCTTGTTCTCTGACTATTCAGAATATAACAACTCTTAAAAATTACCTTTAAATAAAGTTAACAGTTTTACAGATTTTATCCAGAAAATATAAAATTTTGAACATGGCATAATAATGCCATTTTCAGTGCTATGCCATCTCTACTTTTGTATTTAAGTTTTAGATTGTAAGCATAGAGATATTCAGCTCAGAATCTGGCCAATGACTTTGGCCAGATACACGGTGTCTATACAGTATATAGAATCATATAGCCCTCTTTTATTCTTTATTTCACTAAACTTCTAGTCATGGTATCTTTTTTTGTTATTCAGGGAAGCTTTGCCGAAAACCTTTCATTTCTTCTGGAAGCTTTAAAAAAAGGTAAATATTAGTATGTTTAACAATATCAAAAGATAATTGTTTAGCTTTATTTTTCCCTTGATCATATGCTTTTACAAAAATAAATAAAGAAATATAAAAAAGAATAAAATAATGACCATTGAAATCCCTAATAATAGTGATTATTCCAACTAATATTTGATTTCATATCTTTATTCACCTGTAGTATATCATTGGTATAGACGTAATTTTCAATAATAAAATCTTTTCTATTTTGTTGTGTGATATACATCTTTTCACTTACTCATGGTATGTCGTAAGCATCTTTCCATGTCAGTAAATATTGAGGTGCATCATCATTTTTATGGTTCTCATATATTTCATTTTAAAAATATAAATTAACTATAATTTAAAATTCTAATATAATGAATTATAATTTATTAATCACCAGCTATCAACTTTTATTTCTAATTTTGTATAATTAGGAAGAAATGCTTAAATGATCATCCAGATTTCCTGGGGTAAATTTCAATAGTAGAATTCTAGATTAAAAGGTTCTACATTTAAAAGAATAAATATTAATTACAAAACTACCCTAGAAGGTCCATTTTCTAAACATATTTAAAAGTACTTTTCTCCTACAGGACCTCAAAAACAATTATTTTCATGTTTGCCTATTTAATAGAAAAAAATTTTTATTTTAGTTTAATTTGCATAATTTGTATACTGATGATGCTCATATCAAATTTTAATTGGCCACTGATATTTCCTGGTTTGTGTTTTTCCTGTTGGTTCTTTGCCTTATTTTGGTGGTTTATCTCATACTTATTATGTGAATTCTTGCACTTGTTTCTTCTCTTAAGTTTGGTTTGGACTTTTCTGCTGAATAGAAGTTTAAAATTTTTTACATAGCCAAAATTTTCTCTCCTTCATACTTTGACATTCACTTATATTTTCATCCAGTACATATAATTCATCATTTGGCTGGAATTTATTTTGGGAAGGTGTAAAGTAAAGATCTAATCTTGAATATACCACTTTTTCCATTGTTATGTAATGCTATATTTTATCAGAAACTAAAGTACTATATTATGTAGGTCTAGACTTCTGAGTGGTCCCTGTGGTTTTAATATCATTTAGGTTAATGCATATGTTTTATTATCTATTGGATAATATTATCAGATATTATCTAACAGATAATAATTATTATTAATAAATCTGTTTATTATCAGTTTTTTTCACTTTTTATGCAAATATAAAGCCTTAGACCTTAAGGTAATAGTGATTGTTCTGCTAAAGTAGTTTCCACCGTTGTGAGAAGAAAAACAAATCCACAGAGTCATGTTGAACTTTTCCCTGTTGTAGAAGTGTTATAATTGTCATTAGTAGGAGTTAAAGTAGCTTTGGTTAAACTTCACAGTACAACGGTTATTTATAAAAATTATTTCTATGGGAAGATTTACTTTATATTTCTACTAACTAAAAATAAGTCTCTTTTGAAGTAATAGTTTTATGTCCCTCTGTATTTAATCCCAAAGCGTTTTGGTCTCTGTAGGTGTTAAAAGATCCTTGTCAGTTTTCTGATGATAGAAGAATTACGTTTACATAATTTAAAAAACAATAATCTTCAGTCATTTAAATGATTTTCTTAACATCAGTAAAGCTACTAGAGTCTGGTGATTAGACTGAATTACCTGAGGGCCATAGGGGCTATTTTGTCCTTTGAATAATTTTTTTTGTTGAATAAATGTACAAGCATTGGTAAGTGCCCCACCCAAAGTAGGTTATCAATATATATTTTTTGAATTGAGTTTTAAAAAATGAAATGTAATAAATAGTTTGGAAATTTAAGAAAGGCTGATATAATTGCTTGTTAATATAAAACTCTTATTTTTTCTTAGGTGACCGGACTAGTAGTTGCCCAGTGATCTTCATATTAGATGAATTTGATCTTTTTGCTCATCATAAAAACCAAACACTCCTCTATAATCTTTTTGACATTTCTCAGTCTGCACAGACTCCGGTAGCAGTTATTGGTCTTACATGTAGATTGGTAAGTGTTTCTATTTTAAAAATTGATTATAATATTTAGAAAATTAAAGTTTAATTACTGACTTAGTTACCATGTAGGTCATTTTTCAAATGTATTTCATCAATACTTGGCACATTTATCCCACTTTTCAACTCAAATTGAGGAAAACAAGGAAATATTTATCACATATCCTGATAGACTAATACCTCCTGCCGTCTAATCAAATTACTGAATAAAAAAATGTGAAGTGAGATTATGCTAATAAATATAATTTCTACATTAGCAAATAAAGAGAAAGTTAAATAACCTCACTACCATTTTATAAAAATTGCTAATAGTTTCTACTTTTTACATTTAAGATTCTTTCCATATTTTAAAAATGCTTGGAATCAACTCAAAATGATACTGTCCCAACTTTGTAAGTATACATCTCCAGAAATGGAAGGGATTATCTCTATCAGGCTGTCACTGTAGATAGTGGCTTCTTTGCTCCTTGGAGGATTTTAGAATGATTTAACCATAGTGTTAATGTCACTATCACATTACTTTGTGAAGACTCCATGTATGTTGAACCTTGTGTACCTTCAGACAGCTTATGTAGGCCTTTTTGCGTTTACCTTATCTATCTCTTTTTCTTTTTTTTAAAAATTTTTCCCCGAAGTGGGTGCACCATTCTTGGAAGTACTGCAGTACCAGGTCGATGCGTGGAATGGATGGAGCAAGTTCCTATTCCATCTCCTAGTTCCAGAAATCCATTTAATTCATTGTCCTCGGATAGAGCACATATCGGTTATTAAACTGATAAGAACAGATACTATACTTGATCTTAGCCGAAAGGCCGAGAAGCAGTGTGTTTACGTTCTTTTACTCTCCTAGTATGAACTTTCTAATTGAATTCAGGTAAAACTGGTTTTTAAGAGCCACCCGCTTCTTATACTATGGCTGCCATGCATCTGTAGCTTTCATCCTTTTTCCTCCTTCATTTATGGCAGGCTTATGTCAAGCCCTCATTCTCCTTTTGTACAGCTCGTTCCCTTTTTTAGAAATGTGAAACTCTTTACTAAGTCATCTTTCAACAGTCTTGCTAGTGCTGTTTCTCAAAGGAGTGGCTTTCTCTGTCCTCCTTCCCCAGTGCTCTAGAGCTTACAATGTATGCTTTCATAATAAGCCTCTCTCACAGAAAATCTGGCTGGTTCTCCACATATCTTTATTCCTCTTTTCAAAATGTAGCAATCTAACACAGTGGTTAGGGAAGCACATTCCTCCTTGCTAAAAGCTCTTCCTTTGGGTGGAAGTGGCAGTGGCAAATGCTTTTGACCCAGTGAGGGACCAAATAAAGGGTTAGTAGCTCCTTAGCCATATTATCAGAGTCTCTTTTTTATTCTGTATGTATAATTCTCCAACTGTGTAATTCAAGTCTAAGTATATATCTGTGTGTCCATGTTTATAGGGAAAGAGCAAAAGGAATGATGGAGTAGTGATTTTGTTAGCAAATAACCTCTTCCTTGTGGCAGTAATTTTTTTTTTTCTACTATTCCCTGTATCCCCACATTACCAATTTCTGTCATTACTGCCCACCACCAAACTATCAGTTACTGTTCACCTCTAAAATTCTTTTACTTCCATCTCTTTCCATTCCCAAGTTCAGGCTCTTAATTATTGCTTACCTGTATGGGTGATCTAGAACTGCTCCTTAGTAGAAAGTAAATGTATAATATTTCTGTCTCTGAACATAACTTTTAATTGTCTTATGCTGTCACTATATTTTTCTTTAACCTGTAAACACATCTCAGGTTTTTCATTCACCCTCCTCCACTCTAACCCCAAGCTATTAATCTTTCCTGTCTTCCTTTCCACACTAACCATGATGCCATGATGCCTTTTTGGTCGCTTTAATTCTTTCCTGTGTATCATTGGTTTCTTAACCTAGAATCATCTGGGTAGATTTGAAAATCCGTATTTCTGGGCCTCACCACAGCTTTTTGTTTTTCTTTTTTTATAGAAAATTGACACTAAACTTGCTCCCTCACTTCTCAAGGAAAAATAGCACTAATACAAGTAGTTTCTCAAATATTGTTATAAAAAAGCCAAAAGACAGAATAATTTACCAATGTCACACTGTGTTCCTGCCAGTTTCCTCTTCTACAGTTTGTTCCTTAAGTCCAGCGTGGCTTCAGCTTAAATTTGTATAGTTTAGTGAATTGAATATTTCTCCATTACACATGCTGCTTCTTGAGTCTTTGTTACATAAAACAATGAAGAAGATGTTTAAATTTTCATGAATGTTAATAAGTCTAATTACATTTTATTATATTAATTTTTTATGTGAATTCTTCATAGAATGTATGAAATTGTTTATTGATAGCTATAATTTTTTAGTAGTTATTGTTGGTCTTGCAATGTTAAAGATAAGCTGAGAAAAACATGGTTGGAAAAAGGCTTGACATCACCAGGCTTACAAGTGCTTAGAAGGGGATTAAAAGTAGCTTGGATTAAAAATACTTTTAGAGGCTTGGTTTATTTCCAAGCCGCATTCTCTTACCTCTACTACCTTGTAGCCCTAAGTAGATCAAGGGAATAATTAAATTTTTTTTAATGCTTAATTGTGTATTACAGGATAAGCATTTTAAATGCTTAATTGTCTATTACAGGATAAACATTGCTGATTATAAGTGATAGTTCAAATAGTTATACCTCTAACATTGGTATGGTTATTTTAAATATGCATCTTACGGAGATTTTTGTTTGTTTTTAAGGATATTTTGGAACTCTTAGAAAAGAGAGTGAAGTCACGATTTTCCCACCGGCAGATACACTTAATGAATTCATTTGGTTTTCCACAGTATCTTAAAATATTTAAAGAACAATTATCTCTACCTGCAGTATTTCCAGGCAAGATTTTTGCTGAGAAGTGGAATGAAAATGTTCAGGTAGTTTGGAAAAAAGACAATAATATTAAAGTAATATTTGTGTCTTGCTATACCATTTGAAAGCAATTAAAACTTGAAAATCTTTAAAATCTGTAAGTTAGCATAAAATTTCTAATATTACTGTGGCGCAAAACTGCATTAATACAAATTATACTCTTTTGTTTGTGTATTTTCTTTTAAAAAACAGTTGAAATGTCATACTTCTAATTTTTTTTTCTCAAAGGAACTTTTATGAGATTTGTTTTATTTGTATCTGGTTTATATTTTAGATTACTTTGTTAATGAACTTCATCATTAAATATTTATTTTCTTTATTTATAAGTTTAGCAATATATTAATTTAGTAAGGTTCATACCTACCTATCCAGTGTGGATTTTTCTTCTCCAGTTCTCATGAACAACTTAAGGGTTTTTCTCATTGGGTCTATTAAGAGGCAATTCAGACTGTGGCAACTTTGGTTTTATTATCTATATTGACATATCCCATCTTTGAGTCCTTGGAGCCCTGAGGGTCTTAAGTTGCAAATGCACACTCACTTGTTGTTTTAAACATCTACTGAACCTTGTGGACTCTAAATATACTTAAGTTGAACAGCCTAATTTGTACAGACTGTTGTTTTATCAGCTAAGCATACTAGCATCAGTTTATCTTATACTGACAGGTTTTAGTTGGCAGGGAAAAGGGAGAGAGTGTATGTGTGTGAATGTGTGTTTAATAATGTGTTTGAAAAAAAATATTACTGAATAAATCTTACATGTCAAAAATATGGACCTTGTGAAAGTGGAAAATAATATAGAGTCCTTGGTTATGAAAGAATTAGGAAAAACTGGTCTATAATATTAAATACTAATGAGTGAGGATGATTAGATCTGCTTAGAATTAAACAGTCTATATTCTTTGGCTCTAAAAGATTGTTTTATGTTATAGCAATAATGATAGATTATATTTTTTTACTGTAAAATCTTAAATATCAATACCAAATTAAAAGTGAAAGTTTGCATTTATTTTGCTCTTTAACGATTCTTGGTTTTTTCCCATCTTTGTTGAGGTATAATTGACAAATTAGAAATTGCTTATATTTAAGGTATACAACTTGATGTTTTGCTATACATTGTGAAATACCACAATCAAGCTATAGTATTTAACATATCCATCACCTCATATAGATTTCTTTCTTTTCTCCTTTTTTTAAATTTTGTGGTAAAACAGTTAAGTTCTATCTTCTAAGCAAATTTCAAGTATATAGTACTGTATCGTTAACTATAATCACGTTGCTATCCATTACTTATGCAGAACCTAACTTGTATAACTGAAACTTGATTCTCATTTTGATTTTAAAATAGAGTCAGCTTATGTGAGCACTATTAATTTTGACACAGTTTTTTAAAATTAAAAGTTACGAACAAAATTTAATCAGTGCTTAAGAATACGTGGTAAAAGGTAGACTTTTCCCTTATGTCCATGCCCATCTTCCCTCCTTTCACTACAAAGTAATTATTTGGTTCATAGCATTTCAGACCTTATATATTGATACATGCCAAATTTGTTTTTACATAAAGGATTCAAACCTTAAATATTATTCTTTGGTTTACCTTTTTTACTTTGTTGTAATCGTTAATCTCATATTTTTTTCCTAATATAACTGTACAGAATTGTATATCAAAATGATTGACTTTATCCTTAAATCATGATACTGTGTCATGATATAATTAGGTGTGGGTCCTTCCTTCCACCTTCCTCCCCAAATTAACTTTTCCTGGGACTCAGATATTTACTAGCTCGTGCAAGTTTTTCTTGATACTATGTCTAATTATAAGAGTCCATGCTATAAGAACACTTTATAGTTGGTGCTCTCACATTGTCTTTTCCTTTACCTGGATCTGGAGTGGGTCAGAGCTCTGAATCTTTGGCCTCTGAATCCACTTTTGAGTGCGTCACAGACTTTCACCTTTCACAACTCCTGAACTGATTGTCTTGTTGCAACAGTGTGTTTTTCTGATTGCTTTAGTGATCAAATGCAGTCTTAGTATTTAAATGTCTGTGCTTTCCCAGGGCTTTTATTATTATTATACCTGCTCACTTTCTTTTCCT